CCCCCCCCCCCTCCACCCCTATCACCACCACCTTTCCAGCCATTCTCCACCTCAAGCCTTCAGAATTCCATAATCATTCAAACCCCTCTCAGGAATTGCTGCTTTTTCGATTTGAAAAGCCCACTACCTTTTTTTTATTAAATCATTAAACTAGCCTACAATCTAGTACATGAAACTCTGTTGCTTTGTTTGCCTTTTATTTGATCTCAGTCTGAAAGGTAAGCCAGGTTCCAAGGAAACAAAATCCAACGGCATGAAAGGAAAGGGGAGTGTTTATTGGACTGGATTCTGAAAGCATTGCTACCCGTGTTATGGCTATGGCTATTTTCTGGAACCACAGGAGATGCAAGTAGAGCTGTGGTTTAACAGTACGATTTGGAGATAAATCTGAAAACAAACACCTTTTTCAACCCTCAAAACATAACTGAAATAATTAAGGCTATGTTACTGTTGCACATTTATCCCTGCAAACTTATGACCAGAGAAATTACTAGAATTGACAATTTTAAGTCCAGAAAATTGCTTTCCCCTCTCTCATTTTTATCCTTGAGTGTGCCCTTAGCTTAGTGATCAATGCTGGCCAATGCATGGCAAGTGTATGATCATGGAATGTTAATTGAAATTGAGGGTTCAAAATATTCTGGGAAATGCAAACAGCCTCTGACCACTTTTGGTCTTTGAAATACTATTTTAGAACAATTTTATTCCACCATTAACCAAAAAAGTTATTATTGATGAATAATTTGACAACATGAACTGTTTGAGTTGTTTTTCACCAGTGGCAGTTTTATATATAGAAATGATGAGAAATGACAGTAATTTCTTTATCTCCAGGTTTCCTCTCCTTACCTACAAGCCTCATGAAGAAACTTGTCTCTTCAGAAAACCTTAACATTTCCTGCAATGAAGAAGGAGTTCTAAAGTTTGTTTTGGATTGGGTTAATCACGATCTAGCCAACAGACTTGAACATTGTCCAGACGTCATGAAAAATGTACGACTTCCTCTCATTCCAAGAAATCTTTTGATCAACTTTTTGGGGTCAGAATTTGAAGAACTTAAAAAAACTGGTGAGTGTCACATTTTCCTGGAAAATTAGGAAGTGCCCTATTGGGTAACAAAGTTGTTTTCCCTGCAATTATGCTGAAATGGATTAATAATTTTGTTTACAGAAGTTTCTCTCAGTTAGATCTTCCTTGAGACTGTGCAGGAGACACTTATATTATTCTCTTTTCTCACTGATCTGGCAGACGTGAGATCATTTTTTCAGAAGAAAACTGTAACTTTTGTCATTTGCAACAAATGTTGAAGAAAATTATTGTCTAGTATACAGCTTCTTCCAACAAAGAAGTAACATTAAAAAAATAATAATAAAACTGATACTATTATGTTTGATACTTTACCACAAAGTATAAATGACCTATGATGAAAACATAATCATGTGATTGTAGCCTCTATCACTGATGGATGTAATTCTTAAACGCCTTTAAATTGTACCTTTTTGGTATGCTTTGGCTGCATATCAGGTGAATTGGGTCAAATCAAATCTTCAATTAAATTTATTACAGCTCAGTGGCCAAAGTTGAGTATCAGTAATCATTTTTTTGATTAAAATGACTTGGACCCTTTGCATTATGCTCTGTACAGGTTGTGATGCTCTTGTTGAAGAGATTAACTCTTATCAGCTTCATCCCGAGAAAAGGACCATCATTAATACACAGCGCACACAGCCTAGACACAGAACTCCTAAAAAACTGTGTGTGATTGGGGGCTTATCTGGATTTGACAGTCCTGACAGATATTTAAATCGTGCAGATTACTTTTACTTGGAGGACGAAGAGAAATGGCAAGAAATGGCACCCATGTGTGTTGCACGAGAATCTGCAGGTATAAGACAAAGTATTGTGATAAGAAGCTAATAAATATAACTGGGCAACTCTCTAGATTTAAGCAATTCATTTTCAAGGTTAGAAGACAAAATTCTCCTTTTACTGATATCTATAAATTAGGTTTGGGATGTTCGTGTCACTGGAACCGCATGTCTCACTTAGCCAGAAGGACCTTAGCACAAGAAAAAGATGGCAAGAAAAAAGTGTTTCTGGAGATAACTCAATGCTGGTTTCCTTCCTTTTCTGGTTCACTCCAACCAAAATCATTCAAATTCTACAGTTTAAGACCTCAACAACTTTGGATGAATGGAAAATTCCAGCCATGTGTTTCCATCTGGATGACTTCACTGAAAATTGTCCCCATAAGCCGGATTTCCTTGTTTTTGTACACCACTCTTCAAATCTACGTGTAGCACCTTTCATAGAAGCTGTTTGGGTTTGTCACATTCCCCCAGAGTTGAGTGAGGGACCCAAAGTTTGTCCATGTAGGAGGCTACGTTATTCCTTAAACCAACAAACCACACTTACATCAAAAAAACCTGTTTTACTTCTTAGCTGTTGTCAATCTCAGTGGTCTGATCTTTGTCATTGGTGGAGTCAGTTTCAGTGCAAACCTCAGCTCTGTTGAATGCTACAACCCTCAGCTGGACTCCTGGACTGAAATGCCGCCTCTTAAATACTGCAAGGGACAGGTGGCAGGCACTGTTCTCAGTGGGTGTGTCTATGTGATTGGTGGAAGCGACGATCATCTTAGAGAGGGACTGAAGACGGTGGAGAAGTATAACCCAATCACCAATGACTGGGAAGTGGTCACGCCCATGCGCATGGGTCGAGGGGCACTGGGTATGTATTGAGTGCATTTCATGTTAAATTCTTCATTGAAAGTGTGATCCAGTGATAATAATTTTTAAACGTTGGATAATGATTCTTGACATATGGGGGTCTCCTGATCTCTTTTAGTTTTCTGGGGGTCCTTTCCAAAGGCCAATTTCTTATTTCTTTTCATGGAAACAGACTGGCCTGTTAGGTTCGATTTTGGCTACCACTGCCAAGATCTTGTAATGAAAAATAGAAATTGCGGTAGACAGGATGGAGGAGAAGTGAAAATGTTTTTTAGAGTGTCTATCAGGTTAAGTCGTTATTTGTGGGGTGAGCTTAAAGCTTCCCCCCAAACCCACTCCCTGCATCACTACTCTCCCGCAGGAGAACCCGCCGTACAACATTGAATATGGTGTTCAAAGGATTCTATAAAAGCCAGAATTACTGTCATCCTCCTAGGTGTAGCCACTCTTGAAGGGAAGATCTACGCGTGTGGGGGAGCCAACTTCAACTTTGCGTTCTCCTCAGTCGAAGTCTACGATCAACAAAAGAACCGCTGGACGTCCGCTTCTCCCATGAAAAGAGCGCGCGCTTTTCACGACGTGGTTGTGGCGCACGGATTTCTGTACGCGCTTGGCGGCGCTGAAATGCAGAATGGCCAACTAGCAAACATTCAAGCCTCGGCGGAGAGATTCTGTTCGCGTACAAATCAATGGACGGTTATAAAATCTCTGTATGTGCCCTGCTGGGGAGTCAGGGCAGTGGCTAATGAGAGACCACGTGATCATGAGGTAGACGTGTATATAGTTGGATCGTTTGTCGTGGACTCGGGTTATGGCGCTGTAGCTAAACTTAGTATCGGTGCTGATGACTCGCATATGCTGACGCACATTCCATACTTTGACGAGCCTTCACCTAGGATACAGGCCGGGGTTGTAATTTTGCCGTGGATATGATAACAACAGTGGAGAGAGACCAAGACATAAGGCGAGGTTCTCGCCGCAAGGCAAAATTCCTTTTAAAATGCGCGGGAGTTCTCGTCTTCTATTTTCGTCTTCTTTTTTCGTATCGCATGTCTGTAGCAGTCGAGGTATCGTTTGGCACTATAAGCAAAGAAGTTTTAACTTTCAACTTTCAACTTAACTTGTAATCAACTTTTATAATTTAGTTGGTGCGATGTCTTAATGATTTTACCGACTTAATACATGTAGATGTAGGTGGAATTTAATAATACCGTTGCACTGTTCTGATGGTGTAGATGGTAGCTGAAGGTTTCGCATCCACCGAGTTCGCACTCACATCGATTCAACTAGCTATCAAGTTCACCCCAGATTAGTGGGCATAATGAAACAAAATCACTCAAAACATGTTTATTTCTCGTTTTTTAATCCAATGACCGCGGATCTAACTCGAAAAAGGTAGAGGCGAACTCGAAATAGAAAGTTTAAAATGAGTTCAGGGGTGCGAACTCGATTGGGTGCGAAACAGGAAGCATTCGTTTAGATTGATCAGGCGCGATCAAAGCATTCAATGTAGCTCTTATTTGTCTGCCTGTTTTATAACGATATCTTTTTAAGGGCCACATGAAGTTTGTGTTACGTCCAGATTTAACGCTTCATTTCAAGTTTTCTGACGAGTATCCCCGCTCGTTTAATTTGGGATTTCCTCGGCGCGTCCATGGTAAGGTTTGGAGTGCGACGACTTGATCCGTGTGCTCCTGGCTGTGAAAACGATGTCATCAAAACCACTCGTAAACTATCCTGTACAATTTTCCTCTTTCTTTGGTTCTGTTCGCTTTTTTGTTCGTTTAACAGCTAGCCTGGATATCAGTCTGAAAGGCCGCTTGGCAATTCTCACTTTCCTGTAAGTCATTTTATACTTTCAAGCTTCTTGAATCTCGCTGGACGATCCTTGACAGAAGACAGTCACCTTATCTAGTCTAATGTCAGTAATCCAAACTTGTGTGCTGTTCAGTCCATTTCCCTGCGGAAATTTTCAGTGTTCCTTAGCTTCCCGTCCACTTTCGAAGGTCATCCGTTAGATGTGGTTTTTCTGCGGAATGTCCTTGTGCAGTAGAGATAACAATATTTCGAGGATACTAAAACAACTAATATTTAATTGACTCGAACGTTCAGTCAGTCATTACCTGTCACTCAAATGACTCGAGGTCGATCCTTTGATTACCAAGAAAGTTTTCTGTGTCGCAATTCACAGGATCTGAGGTTCAAAGGGAGTGATAAAGGTGTAATTTCCCCTTACGATATTCATACACTGCCTTGCAGAACGGAAACGAGAATTCAGTAATTAATCCGCATCAAAGGGACTATAAGGGTTACCGTGAGTCAGAACTGTCCCGAATCCATTTTGATATTGTTTAGTAAAGGAACAAGTTTTAGGATGACTGTTTCTTTTTGGTCAACAGAGAAGATGGAGATCTTAAACCATTGTAATTTCATTAAATGGATACTTCTGTCTGTAATAGGAAGGTCGCGGATACTGCCTTCATCGTTTTTGCGTTGCTTTCATTTAATATACAGATCGGCTTATTTATATGCTTGAGTTCCCGTTTACAGTACAAATATTTACGCGTTTCTTTATATGGTTATCGTTAGTGTTCTTGGAAGTAAATTTATCAACTGTTTGTTCAATCGTTTATTTCATTTGTATTTTGTGCTGAAATTCATGGTTGTATTTTCATAATAAACTCAATTGACGCTCAAGTGCTGAACGACAAATATATGTGCTTACTTCAGCGAAATAAACGTTGCCGGCGCAAATCACACTCGCGCGTGTTCAGGGCAAGTGATCAATAACTCTGAGATCCTGGGGTAGTTATTTAGGGGGAGGGGTGGGGGTGGAGCGAGAGACGGGGGAAAAATCAGCAAGGAAAAGTTGGAGAGACTCACTTTCTCTCTAACTTTTCTTTGTCGATTTTTTCCTTGTTGTTGCCCGCACGAACTCCCCCTGGGTGTCCGAGGATGAATCTGTTTACGTTTAGGGGAGGGCTAAGTATCACCTTGGCAAAAAGTTTTCTATAATTTCCTGAATGAGTCATTGATATAAATAGTTTTCCTTGTTTCTTTAGAGTCATACTGAAACAAACATTTGATAAATTATCCCGTGTTTTCTGTGGGCTGTTCTCTGAGTAAGAACTTGAGCGTTTGATAAATTTTCAGTCTGACATTTCACTGCTAAAATATGAAAGAGCAGGTAATTCCACCTTTCTTTCCCGCGCCGTAAGAGTTTACTTATAATGTTCTTATTTGCGATCGTTATCTCCGGGTTTGTTTTTACGCCAATATCTTTAACCCGGGCTTAAACCTGTTTCAGGTCAGTTCGAGTATGGAGTTCATGACGGGCCCATTTCTAGCCTTAATAAATTATTATTTACGCGTGGCAAGTTATTGCGTTACCGGTGTAGCTATTGGTAGGCTAGTCTGAATGGAACAAAGCTAAAATTGTGTAAAGCAGTGAATTTTTCCGAGAAATGATTAGCTCACGCAATTATTTGCCCCAAGCGTGACTATTAAATCGTCACTTCATGTTTTCCGGGAAACTATTCATTTGATATTCGAATTCTCAGAAGGCTTCCGCTCCGCCGCGCTTGTCTTTCAAAGAAATAAAGTCTTATTGAATTTCGCCGTTGTGTTAGTTCAGTAAACTTTCGCTTCCCCGAAATCAACAAGGCAAATGGTTCGAAGCAGCAGAGACAAGCCTCAGCAAAACTGTCAAGAACCCGGGAAAGCGATGGAAAAAGATTATGTCAACATCATCACAGAGTTCTTCGCGCTCATCGTATTTTGACACCGCCGTAGCGACTTTACAGACAAGTGGGTTTTATTGGGGAGCCATAAACGCTAATCAATCAAAAACTTTATTGATGCACAAAAGAGTTGGAGCATTTCTTGTGCGGGCTAGCTCAGACCCTAAGCATTTATTCACGCTGAGCTTGAAGACAGAAGCAGGAGTGACGAATATAAGGATCGTCATGTGCGACGGCAAATTTTCGTTAGATCAAAACAATGGAACAATCACGCGGGCCCGTGCAAACCAGCAGGGTTCACCAAGGTTCGACTGTGTGGTAAAACTTGTGTTTTATTATATGCTGCTATCCTGGAGAACGTTGCGACAAAATTCTTCAAGTACAGGAACTCGTGACAGAGTCGCAGCTCACTTGTCACTTCTCTTGCCTCTCTACAAAGAAGTGTCCAGCCTACAGCATTTGTGTCGAAGAACGTTGAATCGCCTTGTAATTGGCGATGGGGTCCATGGTCTACCCATTCCTGCTAAACTAAAAGTGTACTTAAGAAGATACCAATATCCAGTATAACCAAGAGACGGGAATTATTTTATATTCAACTAAGTGCGATGTAATGAATTATTGGTGAAGTGCCATTTCCCCGAGTTATTACGAGTACATTTTCACGTACAAAGAGAGACCGTTTTTCCGAGAAAAATAGGTGGAGTGTATGCTACAAGAAGGTGTGTATCTTAAACAATATTTGTTCAAATTATAAATTAGTCCTTCCCGATGAGGGAACGTCGCTATATGTAGGCATGCATATTATCAAATTGTACAGCCTGTTTATAAAGTTATTTATTTCGAAAATAATTAAAAGTATATTTGTATGGACACTTGTGAAAGTTGATGCTACTGGTCAAAGAACATCCTTTTATTCCTAGAAACTAGAATAACGGTACGCTTGGCTTCAAATGTATCTGTAAGGCTACGTCATGTGATTTTACCGTCAATATTTTCCCTTTTAAGTTGGGAATTAGTTATTACATAAGGTAAAATCATTCTCGACAGAAGAGTTCAGTCGTTATGCAACCATAACGCCAAACCTTTTGATGTGAAAAACAGATAAAAAAAAATAGTTTATGATGCGAGAATTGAAGTGAAAGTAACAAATTATAAGGAACTACCTATATATAGTTACAGTCATCCTGTTGCACTTGGATGCGGAAAATTAAACAGCTTAAGTGTTGATATTGTAAACTAAGGCAACAAGACGGACAGTTCATAATCGGAAGGAGTGTTGGCCGACATTTTGTTCCGTTTTGTTTAATTAAAGTGTTGACACACTTTCCACAAAACCAAACATTGAAGAGAAATCAATCATTGTGATGAATTTACTTATACTTGGGCACGCATTTTGATGCATCCGCTACCTATTGCGTGAAAGCGCCATCAAGCAGGTTTCAAATTTCCGCGTTCAGCAAGGAATGTGTTCCGGGGGAAATTCCCTAATTCCACGAAATGGAAAACGCGTACCACGGGGTATGGGGGGTATTCCCTGTTGTGCGCCATAGGGGGAGGCTTAAAGGGGTTCCTTTATTTATTCCGGAGGTATCTAAAGAGTAGACGACGGATTTCTTGAGCAGAAGTATAGGGAAGGGTAGGGAAAGTGTCATTGGCTTTTTCAAATGATCTCGAGAACAAACGGACGCACCTAATGGACGAGGATCGAGTCACCGAAGTATTTTAAAGGTTTGCTCAGTGCAGTGTTCCTACTATAGGTTATAGTTATAGCACTGTTTGAAACCATGGTTATACCTGTGTGATTTGCACGGCCTCACCGAGCAGATGTATGTTGTATACTCGCCTTTGTTTGATTCGCTGCTGTCACGGTTTAGTTTTAAGTACGTGCGGGAAAAAATGTTTCTCAGTTTTTGCGCATGATTACGTTTGATCTCAAAGTCGCTTCACATACTGTACTTGGATTTGCATTGTTTGTTTTGTACTTGGGATGCAGAGTTGTCTCGCGAAATGACCTGAATTGCAGCCCTTGCATCCTTCACAGGAGATATTTTAAGGTGCCGCCAGCATTACACAATTAGCTTTAGTTCTGCTGAAATAAATTTTTATAATTAGGAAAGCCTTATGCAAGAAAATTGTTTCGAGAGTTTCCTGATCTCGTGAAGTGCAAAACCAAAGAGTTTCAGCGAAACCCTGGGTCCGAGTACCGCTGTACGGGACAGGAGCCGGCGGACCTTCGGGAACCAGGGGCTCGTTTCTCGAAGGTCCCGAAAAGTTTTCGCACCCGGAGGGCCGCAGCAAAATCTCAAACCTTATGATTACAGAGCTGTTTTATTCACATATTCTTAATATAAACAGACGTTCCATTCTGTACAAGAAGTTTCAGGCGTATACACCTCTCTATCTTTAAATACCGATTAACTCAGGAAAAATGGCTTTTCGGGCCCGAAAAGTTTCCGGGGCTTTCGATGAACAGGCCCCTGACCTGAGAGAGCAGTGGAAGTCAAGTCTAAGGAAGCGCGGAACTGAACGTCAAGTTAAGGCATACTCGATCCCGTGTTATAGCGATGTATAGGGCTGTGCCACCTTAAAGCGTATATGGGTTTCTAGATCTTTTGCCCTGAAATAGTTGTTAAAGGACTGTTAGACCGATATCACATGACCCAGAGATTAGACTCCTGTCTATCTTCAAACTGGCAAGAGCGATAAGATAGAAAACTGAGCAGCAAAGAAAAGTTATTTGATAACTTGTAATCAAATACAGTGTACAGGTTTTTTTTTAGAGGTCATGTTTGAAAAGAGGAGCTGTTGAGACATGCATATGGAACATACGGCGACGAGTGGAACGTCCACAGCACAAGACGCGGCAGTGAAAGAAGCTTTAAGCTCTTCAGTGTAATCTTTAAAACAATGCGTTTCCGTCTAGCCTTTCTAGTATTATTGCGCGTTGTTACAATCGTTGCGAACGGGAGAGTAAATCATCTTGCCAAAAGAAAACATTGATTTAAACATATGTGCATCTGTTTGCAACCTGTTTCTTGGCGAACAGACCGGGCTGTCAGTACAGTGCATCTGACGGTATTCAACAAACGAACGTGATGCTGTTTGTAAAGCCAAATGATCGCAGAAACAACAGCCAGTAAAAGTAAAAGTTATTCGTGTTTGGCAAACTACTTAGTTAAAAACTACTTAGTTATATAATTAGTATTCTTTCCAAGAGAGGGCGGTTCGCCCTTCTGAAACCCAACCTAGGGAGGGTTTTTTCCTTTGCAGGTGAAATTTGTCTTTTTGGCACTAGAGTCGCATAATCCGTGTAGATTCATCTGCGGTCTTAATGCTAAGTCGAGGCAAACTATCATACTTATTAATTGTTCATTTCCCCGTCAAAGTATTTCGTCTTGGCGAATTTTTCGTTTTCTGACCTTCCTTCAACTGAAACCATATTAAACTATCTTGACGCCAACCTCGTTCCCAGGGTCTGTCATCGAGGTTGTCTTGACGCGTAATTCGTCAGATACCCATTATCATACACACGCACGGATTAAGACGCACTAAAGTTCATCTTGACGTATAATCCATCTTATGCCCGTCTTCTTGTACTGAGATGCCTAGCAAGACGCTAAACAAATCTTGCCAAAGTTCGTCCATCCAAAAGGATTTTGCTTCTCCAACCAGTTTTCGAGAGTCTAACATGAGCCTTTTCATCCCTCATTCCCCCAATAATTCTAGCTCAATCCCGCGCCATCCCGCCCCATTATCAGAATGTTTATCCCGATCCCTCCCTGGTAGAGCTCGAGGTGTGCGCAGTTCTCCGCGTAACGACCGTAACTTGTGATTTTCTGGGTTTTTTTTTTCATCCCGCTTCGGCCGTCTATTTTAAAACTATCCCTCATACTGTTCGTCAACTTGATGAGCAAATCCCGTTCGAATACCTGCCGAAGAATCTTCATCCCGTATCACGCCATGAAAATTTTTGTCATCCGGCACTCCGCCTCCGTTTTTACTCTTATTCCGCATCCCGCCAAACTTATCGTTTTCGAACGTTCCGTGGGTATGGGGCTAGAAACTATAAGGAATACTGCAAAGGTCGGTCAAACAACGTGAGAGGTGTGAATACAATATTTCGGCCGGCCAACACCAGCCTTTTTCAGGTTTCACATTTTGTTATGGCAGCACGCATGAAAGCTATCCTGAAAAAAAAATTCCAGTACCTGTCCCGTTAATATTATAAATCAGTTTCACGAACAGGTCGAACGGTATCGACACTGGTGGAATATTTCAAACAGGTTTACGGTCGTTTCGATACAAGTCGTTTTGATACAAATGGAAGCCCGTCGATTATTCGAGATACATCTTAAGTCGATTCGATACAAGCAGAAGTCGTTTCGTAGCAAAAAGAGAAAAATCAAGTTTGTCTGGAGGGCGGAACTTTTCCGCTAGCTGAATACATGTAAGCTGAGCTTCTGCTCTGAAACGACCCTGATTTGAAGAGAAATCAGACGTTACTCACGGTGAAGAAAATCGTCCACTACAAAAAAAAAAAAAATTTAGTATCGCTTGACAATTCTAAACGTGGAAATTCTAAGATAATTTCAGATTGCCAGGTATCTTAAAGTTTTGTATTGACTTCAATTTGTATCGACCTAGATGTGTATCGAATCGACTTCGACTTGGATCCCTGTCTCGTTCGTTCGATTTTGTACCGGATTAGTCCAATGAGAGCGCGCGGCGGCTCTCCGGAAATCTCAACGCACTGTTAGTCGTTGATTGAAGTCATGAGGCCTGTCGTGGCATGAACGAGTAGCTCACCAGTATTAAAATACAGATGTGGAAACTTGAGAGGTAAACTTGTGTTAGGCAATCCCTCGAAGGAGAGTAAAAATCCCGGGGGAGGGGGTACTTGGGTCAATCTTTGTTGGGTATGTGCCGCTGGTCTCTCAGAACCCCTACCCCATTATAGTGATATTCTATGGCCAATTATAGACCCCATCTTAGTCACTTTTGGGTAAATGTAATTTTCACGACCCCAACTTAGTCACTTTCTGTTTTTGCGTCTACCGTATAAATCCTTTTAACTAAGTCTTCCTAAAATGAATTGACACATTTAATAAACTGAGTGAAGAACACTTAACTTTACAACTACACTATAAACATTCTGGTACATTTGCTTACCATAAATATTTACAAATATACCGTCATAAATAGTTGAAATGCAAACATTCTTCTTTAACGGTAACATTACACTAGCACTGACATCATAATAGCATTTTCGATGTGGATAAAAGCAATTTATAGAACTTTCAGATCATTTATATTTCGATTTGTCTTACCTTGTAGCACTGTCACCGGAGAGCCATGTGATGACACCAAAGGACGCTGGCGTGTTGGAGGTGGAATTAATGTTCCTGTCAATGTCACGTTTAAAGCAAACAAGTCCCAAGCAAAGGAGATCAAACGCTTATTACAGCAAAAGAAGATCCAAG